GGATTAAGTTCTCAAGTCAAGACCCCACTGTATATGTATAATAAATATATAGTTAGGAACATAGGATGGTTAAATTGTTAGCATAGGGACTTTATATTCTAGTTAGGCGGTTAGTTAAGTCTCTAATCAATTGATTTGGGGCTATTTAGAATAAGATACATACAGTGGGGTCTCTACTTAAGAACTTCTCTACTTAAGAACAATCCAACTTAAGAACAGCTCCATTTGCTAATTTTTGCTTCTACTTGAGAACAGAAATCCAAGATAAGAACAGGAAAAAAAACCTTTCCTGCTCTTTTTTTAACCTTAGGTCATCTTAGGTTAAAAAAAATTCTCCCCCTAGTGGTAGAGTACGTATTAACCAGCTTTGCATTAGTTCCTATGGGAACTAATGCTTCAATGTACGAACGCACCTCTACATAACAAAAAAACAGCCAGAACGGATTAATTGGTTTTCAGTCCATTCCTATGGGAAATTTTGCTTCAACTTAAGAACGTTTCAACTTAAGAACACCATTCCAAAACGGATTAAGTTCTTAAGTAGAGGTTCCACTGTAGTTTCTATGGACAGAAAAGAGCAGATACGGATTAAATCGTTTTCAATGCATTCCTATGGGAAATGCAGATTCAATATAAGAACTTTTCAACTTGAGAACCACCTTCCAATACGGATTAAGTTCTTAAGTAGAGACCCCACTGTAAATAAATGAATAGGTTGCATATATAAATGCATACCGCTTTACAGCTGGGACTATATCTACATACATACATACATATATATGTTTTGGGATATAAATAGTTAGTTAGGCAAGGGTGTACTTAAATATTGATAGGATTAGGATTATTAAAATATAGGACCAGTTAAGAGGTGGGCATTTGGTTGCTTTATATTTTACATTGTTAATGCCTGTGCGGGGGGGAAAAACACTAATTCTGCTATGGGACCTAAAAAGAATCATGGTGGAAAGAAAGTGAAACAGCCAGCTAAGCATTATACACCCCCCCCCGTGTTCGCCTCCAGACATCTCCTCTTCAGAAGACGAGGAATGACCAGACTATAGGTCTATATGGGAGAAGCTAAGTACGTTAGAGTGAGAAAGAGTGCAAAGGTGTGAGGGTGATGGTACACCAGCTGTGTGCAAGTCCCAGAGGGAGTCTAAAGTGCAGAAAATGGCTGAGCTCAAAAGAATGGGGGATGTCATGTTGTCTCGTACTGCTGTTTTGGAGGTGGAGCATGTCAGCCCATCAGGTTTGTCCTCCGTGGTGGGGACACCAGTGAATCAACAAAGAGTATCGCGGATGGTGGAGCAGCAGCACGGGAGATCAAGCTTGGCATCAACCAGCACACAAACACGAACAACTGGTGAGGAGGCGGAGAAGGACACATCTGCTGCAGCTGAGGTAGATCAACAAGGATTGGGTGCAGAAGCCAGAGTGGGTGCTGCACTGGGGCAGCCAATGCCTTCAAGTGCACTTTCAGTGTTGCCGAGAGTGGCACAACCAGGTGAGGGTACTGTTACACCGGGCACTACATAATATGGGAGTGTTTGGCCATGGGGATAGCGGGAGCATTACGGTGCTGGTCCCTTTGGCCTTACCTCTGCAAACACCAGTTCTAGGTCATCCCACTTTCCAAGGGTGCGCTGTGGGCACAACCCCAAATCAAGCTTATATGCAGCAGGCTGGTGTGATGGCAGGCACTGGGGGTACAGTGCCCCCGGCTGTAGCTGACAGAGTTCTCCCAGACCCTGCTTTTGGGACATCAGCTTCTTCTAGCCACGGTAGAAATGATCTGAAAGGTAAGTATGTTGATGTTTTTTGAACTACTTAACAGAAAGACTGAAGAGAAGAAGAAGGATAAGGAGGAAGATAGGGAGAAAGAGAAGCTACATAGGCATAAACCGGATAGATGCTGAGTAATTTGGTTGCCTGGGCTTTTCATTTATGCAGGTACAGTGGTTTGTGCACACCCCAAAAGGGCTTTTGCGTTGATCCAATATATGGACCTTATCTATAGAGCCTACGTGGATTTCCCTGACCACGCATGGCTTCTTTATGATGAGGGGTTCCGTATGTGGGCTGTGCTGGGATGTCCTGCATGACACCCTGTGGCTGAGGTTGATGACCCCATCCTGCCCAGTACTGGGTGACAGATTTGATAGTGGGCATTTGGAGCAATGGGCACAAACCAGTAATTCCCGCATCGCAGCAGGTCAGGTGGTTGAACCCCACCTGTTTTGCTGGGAATTCAATGCCTGAGGGTCATGCAATAGGAGACCATGTAAGTTTCGACACCAGTGTTCCATCTGTAATGGTCCACATGCCTCAGCAGCTTGCCCAACGGGCCGACCGGGGGTAATGTGGGTAGGGACTCCAGGGGTAATTGCAAGCCAGCCAATATACAGAAAGGGCGCTAGCCCGATTAAAGTACCAATTTTGTAGCAGTGGCTTAGACGCTACCCAGACAAAAGGGTTGGTCAGTTTTTGTTAGATGGTTTCAGGTTTGGTTTTCATATACCGTTCATGGGCATTAGCATAGCCACATGGTCCAATAATTTGAAATCTGTCAAGGGATAGGAGCAGATACTAGGAAAAAATAGATAAAAAAGTTAAGGAGAGATGGGTGCTAGGTCCTTTCTCAGTTCTCCCAGCTGAGCATCTGTGTGTGTCCCCATTGGGTGCTGTACCAAAAAAGGTGCCTGATGAGTTTAGGTTAATTCACCATTCGTCGTTTCCTGAAGGGGATTCAGTTAATGACAAAATCCCGCAAGAGCTATGCAGTGTGCGATACATGTCTTTTCACGAAGCAGTGCACATGGTGTGGAGTTGCAGGGTTGGTGCAGAATTGGGGAAATGTGCTATAAAATCGGCATTTAGGCTTATTCCAGTCCACCCAGATGATTTTGTTCTTCTGGGCTTTGCTTTTGAAGGAAGTTATTATATGGATAGGACATTCCCAATGGGATCTTCAATATCTTGTTCAGTTTTTGAACAGTTTAGCTCCTTTTTTGAATGGGCTCTTAGGCAAACAGTTAGGGATGCTAGGGTTGTCCATTATTATGACTTTTTGTTTTGTGGGATTTGGGGTACATCAAAGTGTCAGGAGCTTATGTCTGCATTTCAGGAGTGGCTAGGGACTTAGGGGTTCCTCTAGCGGAAGAAAAAATGGAAGGTCCTAAACAGAAACTGGTTTTCCTGGGAATTGAGCTCGATACTGTGCACCAGGCTAGTAGATTGTCAGAGGAAAAACTGAGTGACCTGCAGGTGCTGCTGCAGAGTATGTTAGAGCAGCGCAGGACCACCTTAGGAGAGCTGCAGCAAGTTGTAATACATTTGAACTTTGCTTGCAAAATGGTGGCTCCGGGCAGGGCTTTTCTCAGACAACTATGTGAAGTGATGAAAGGCCTTAAAAGGCCACATCACAAAAGGCAGATAACCCAGGGCATGAAAGAGGATTTGAAGGTGTGGCTACAATTCATCCAAGGTTTTAATGGCACTTCCTTTTGGAGGGACAAAGTCAGGTTGGGTTTAGATTTTCAAGTGCAAACAGATGCTGCAGGTTCACTGGGTTATGGTATCTTTTTCAGAGGTCACATGGCCTGAGGAGTGGCACATGCTGGGATTTACCAGAGATCTCACTTTCTTGGAACTATTCCCGATTGTAGGGGCATTGTGGCTATGGGGCGACCGATGGGCCAACTTGGTGGTCGCCTTCTGGTGTGATAATCATGCAATGGTGCACATTGTTAATTCACTGACATCTAGGTCAGGAAGGATAATGGGATTAGTTAGGGGTATGTTGTTACATTGTTTGCAGTTCAATGTAGTTTTTCAAGCCCATCATGTTCTGGGTATTGACAATGCCATAGCTGAGTCCCTGTCCCGCCAACAGATGGACTGGTTCAGGGCGTTGGCATTGCAGCACAGGGTCAAGAGGATGTGCTTCCGATTGAGGTATGGGCTCTTGGCGGGCTGAGGCACACAGAGCAATGAGCTTAGCTATAGCTCCCAGCACGAAGTGTAGCTATACAGCAGCCTGTGTGGAGTTCTTCTCTTTTAGAGAGAAAAAGGGACTGTGTCAAGACTGGATGCCAATGGATGACCATATGATACAATTTGCGGTGCACCTGCACCGCAGAGGGTTAACACTTCGGTCGATTCAGGGACATATGTCTGCTCTGGCATTTTATGCTAAAGTCCAAGGGTGTAGGGGCTACTCTGTGGATTTTCGCATAAAGAAAATGATAGAAGGAGTAGGGAGCGAGGGAGTGTGAAGGATGCTCATATACCATTTTCCCCAGCTATCTTGGCAAGTTTGGCAAGCACCTGGCCTTTCCTTTGTAGGGATCACTTTGAGACTTGCCTGTTTAAAACTGCAATGCTCATCATGTTTTCTGGAGCCCTTAGAGCAAGTGAGTTGGTTGCCTGCGCAAAAACTGACAAATCCCTATCCTCTTTGCAGAGGAAGGATGTGCCATTATCAGAAAGTCATTTAGTTATTCATTTGCGAAGATCAAAAACTGATCAACAAGGAAAAGGAAAGTTTATTGTGCTCGGGCAATGTTCAGCAAAAGAAATTTGCCCCTTAAACGCCACACAAGATTATTTACTGCTTAGAGGGGATGATGGGGCAGATTTCTTAGACATGAGGATAGGTTGCTCCTCACAAAATATCAATTTTGGAAAGTCATCTCTAAGGCCTTATGCAAGGTCGGGATAAAAGGGTGGCACTTTGGGACGCATTCCTTTTGTATAGGGGTGGCGTCTACAGCAGCAGCTCTAGGCTATAGACAGGAGGACATCAAAAAGGTGGGAAAGTGGGCTTCATGCAGGTATTCTGATTATATTCACCCCTTGCCACAGTTCTAGGTGCTGCTGTGTTTTTGTTTGGATTCTTTCTCGTTCCAGACCCACAGAGACTGTTTTGGACAGTGAAGTACACCAGTCGGACCAGTTGAGGTTGAAACCTGGGACTTGGTGCTGTAGCTGCATTGGACTGGAGGGGGTGATGAGGTCTGCTATGGGACAGGTTCCTCGATGTGGTTACACTGGAAACCACACAGGTGGTCCCAGACATTTTGGTGATCCACCTTAGTGGCAATGGCTTGGCTGGGAAACTGGGCAAATACTGCAGATTCAGGCAGACCTTAAAGTCTTTGAAGCCAGCTGTCCGGTGACTCATGTTGTTTGGTCAGCTATTATTCCTAAGTGCATGTAGTGAGTTAGTTGTGACCCCAAGCATATAGGGCACGAAAAGGGGTGAATAGGGAAGTTGGTAGAGCCATTAAGCAGGGTTTAGGGTCAGTTATAGCTCACCAGAGTCTCCAGGCTCGAGTTGTATTGGCCAGATGGAGTTCACTTATCTGACATGGGGTTAGACATTTTCTTGAGGGATTTACAAGGGGGCCTTCAGGCCAAATTTGTGGGATAGTGGGGGGCACAGGGCGTACGTTGCCATGGCAGGTAGTGCATAAGTAATAGGTTCAAGTGAAGTCAAAAGTGGGCAATCAGGGGGTGCCAAGTACCCCTCCTCTCAGGTTGGAATTAGCGGATGTTAGCTGAGGGGAGGGGAAGCAGGGTATCCCGGTTATATTATGCCCGGGGGCACGCTATAAGGTAAGACAGCAAGCTTCCAGAATAGGAATTCACGTAAGCAAGGGTCTGCACTGGAACATCAAAAGTGACTCCGGCCACAGACCAGAACTGCACTACGGTAGGCCCCCTTGTGAAAGGGGTACTAAAATTTAATAAAATTAATGAAATTGTGGCCCAATTAACCCATATTTTAATTGAAATAATATCAATTGTGGGTCTCGATGACAATTTTTAGCGTATATATTTTAATTGTATTTTCATTGTTTTATCTTTTTTACTGCTTTTTAATTGTTGTAAGCCGCCCAGAGACCTTTGGGTAGGGTGAGTGGCATATAAGTTAAATGAATGAATGAATGAATGAATGAATGAATGAATGAATGAATGAATGAATAAATAAATAAATAAATAAATAAATAAATAAATATTACGTGTCTCATCTCTTTATTCCGGGCTAGGTGGGCAACGTATTATATCTTTAAAAACCTGCAAATGTGTGTAGTTCTTTGGTGCATTTGGCTTTTGGATGCATATTTGGAGTTTCTGATACCTTTGTTTACTTACATATTACATAAACAGACCTTTTTAAGGAGGAATTGCCCCATCACTTTAGCACTGAGGAATGTTTTTCAGAGATTATTGAACCTTCTTCAGTTTTTAGGTGAACATAACTTCTCCAATTCACAGGGAGCTCTAAGTGCACACTGAAGACTCACATTTATCTTCCTGCACTAAGATGACAAATTTTAACTCTGTAGAACCCACTTTAAAGAAGGGACATCAAACTCCTTAGTGGGTTCAGAAACTATAAGAGGTGTACACTGAATCCTGACTCTAACCCTAACTACAATCCCAATACTACCACTAACCCTCAATACTGTATGTTGAACTTGCTATGAGGTCAAATATACCCAAAAACAAAGTACAAGTTTTTTTATCCTTATGGATGATTTTTAATTCTTACCAAAGTACAGTGATAAATAATTACATGCCTTTAAGTGAATGCCAATATATGGAAACCCTTTCCAGGATTTTCTAAGTATGCAGTGATCAGAAGTAGTTTACCATTTCCTTCCTCTGAGGGGGGTGGCGCTCTGAAGCTGTGCTTCTATCACCTAGCTATAAGATAGGGCACTATGTACAAATGCAGTAGTTAATTTTATTCAAGTATAGAAAATTGCAGATAGCTTTGCTTACAATGTCCGTTCTGCAAATGAGCTCTTCGTTTTTCTTCAGACTTCATTTTTGCTTTTATGTACCATTGGCACCTTTAAGAAAATGAACACCATTTCACTTATTAATATGTCAGAGAAGAATACTAAATGTACATTGTTGGTTGTTACAAAATATAAATTCAGAAATCTTTATTTAACTGAAACACACAGTTGAAGAACAGCAAGCAAATAAAAGAAATAAAAGAAACTGATATGATTAATACAGTGAACCACAATAAGTCATTTTTATTTGTGAAATATAATGTTTGAAGAGGATCTAGGCACATGCTGGCTAACTATGTGCCATAGACACAAAACATTGCACTGGACAAAGTACACTTACTGTCTCTTCAGCCACATAGTTTTTGATAATGTGAGGCATTTTACTCGTGCCAAAAAAAGAGGCAGGTGGGGGGAGGGAAGCGCAGTTTATTGTTTGTTTGTTTTACATATTTTATCTCACCTTTGTTCTTAAAAAGGACCCAAGAAGGTTTACATCATTAAAAGACAATATTTAAAGCTAAAAACAGTAAATATACAAATACTAAAAGGATCAAACAAATATCACACTAAAGAACGGCAGATACTTCTTTAGTAGAGATGGGCACAGACCACCAGTTCAGGAGTTCATGCCAATTTTGGGGAGGGCCAAACAGGTGTTCAGTGGTTTGGTGCCCACTTGGTAGCAGTGCCTTGGCTCCCCTGCCTCACCTCCTGGGTGCTGCCTCTGAGTGGGTGCCTGACAGAGAGAGTGGGGCACCAGACCATGGAACATCTCTTTGGCTGTCCCCTGTTAGTTATTCTTGTCGCTGGGATCCCTTCCATGACCCACTTTCTGGGACTTCCAGATTTCTTTCAGCCTTCCTTCTTATTAAAGAAGTTACTTCTGTCTCTAGGCTTACAATTTCCCTTGCCAGATTGAGCTTTCCTTTCCATCAAAGAACCTAAACTGTTTATGAACATTATGTTGTTTGTTGCTGATAGTTTCATTTTTTCCCCCTTAGCACAAATGCTCATGACTAACATTCTGTGTCATTAAAGGAGCTCAGGCACTGCGCAGCTTTACTGACCTCCACAAAACCTCACTACATATTGCAATCTGTGATTCTTCTTGTTCACACTAGACTGCACAGTAAAATTTGTTAGTATTTATCTTTCCCCTTCAAGGTTTCTAGTTTTCATCTTTATATTTCATTATCCAAAACTTGGCAAACTTGTCCAGTGTCAGCAGAAAATCGTTCAGTCAAGTACAGATGCAAGTGTTTACGTTCTCATGCCTCTTCAGTATGAATAGACTCATTAGCATTCAACACTACTTCAAATTGCTAATTCTAAAAAGTGAACCAAAGAACATCTGTAGGATGTAAGACCAATCTTCCACATTAAGATTTGCTTCAAACACTAAAATAAATTATTTATTCTGAATTGTCTTGCCTTATCCCCCTTTTCCTGGTGTTTAAGTAACTTCATGAAATAAATTCAGAACTTCCACAACTGAAAGGGACCATTTAATTAATTAAATATTGATTCATTAAAAATTTAAATGGTTTCCAATATTTTAAGTATGAACTTACACATCTGATGGAAATCAAAAGTCAATCAAAATATATTTCGTTTTCTTCTCAATGAAGTGAAAGGCGCTGAAATAAAATTTCAATATAGCATTTGTTTGCTGTATAAAATTATTTCTTTCAGTGACCTGGTATTTTTATTATTGCATGTATCCTATTTTCTGGTCTGGTATCTGTTTACATGCACTTTTAGTGCTAAATCCAATTGCTAGTTCCAACTAGAGTAGACACACTTGATGAAAATCTGGGTTGGGTAATATTGTCATTGCCTGGGAGGGGACCAATTTATTGTGCTGGCACCAGGAATCAGCCGACTGAAAAAATAGTGGGGCCCCAAATGAAAAATTATAACTGTTAAACTGGACCTTGGATCAGCATCAGATTTGGCATGTAGTTAGCAGAAAGTCTGCTCTTGGTCTGTGCCAAATTTGGGGATGTTTGGGTAAAGGGTTTTTGAGTTGTGATTTTTAAAAAAGTAACATTGTTCTACCCCCAAGCAGAAGCAAGCAACCAGAAATTAAAGCCAATTTAAAACAGATAAATATGTTGAAAAGACAAAATTTGCGTATTTGGAAAAAAAAAACACTGCATTTTATCCACTTTTTCACAAAGTGATACCACACAAGGGAAAATTCCAGAAGTTGACTCCTTTTTTCATCAGTTAACAACTTCTCACTCAAACACAAAGCAACTGTCAGGGCTGTTTTTCTAAAGTGTGTATGGTAGTTAGTAGAAGAAGGTATCCTGTAGACCATCGTGACTGCTCCCATTGGTGCTGTCAACATTTAGGCTGCCCTTTGCCATGTACAGCTTGGAATCCTTTTCCTGCTGGCAACATGGGCACAATCTTGTGTAGCAATATTGGGCCATTTCCTGGCTTTTTGAATTGTGATTACAGAAGTGCAATATCCCACATTCATAAAACAGAGGTATTTTGAAGAGTTGATCTTTATTGAATTACAAAGCAGACAAGCTTTCCAGTTCTCGAGAATCTTTTCTAAGACTTAAATATCGCAATATATGGAAAAATGGAGAAGAAGCAAACATTTTCCCAAATCCATAAAAATCTGGCTAGATGTAGTAGCAATTAAATGAACAGGACCTATAAAGCCAATGTTTATGTAAATTCTATCAATTCAATGGGTTACTCTAACAGGATTAACAGTTAAATTTAGTCCTTAGAATTTGGTTTGCCATAATTTGACCTTTTGGAATTAACACTCATAATTTGAAATATAAGTAAACAATTAAATGTTAATTTAATTGTGATAGGCTTTTCAAGTGATAAAGAGTTATTGTTACATGACAAATGCATTGAAACCTTGTTTCAATTTCCAGGCGAAGCAGGGGATGCCCGTCTTTTTGACTCAGTGGTGTATTCAGCTGTAGGCAAGTTCTTGACCAGACCTTTAAGATGTAATGAAAGAGAAGGAAAAAATATCCCTCATTGCTCCATTCTGTCTCCTCCCACTTTTGGGAGGATGTTTTCTATGATTATTATTATTATTATTATTATTATTATTATTATTATTATTATTATTATTATTATTATTATTGATGCTTCTTAAAAATGTACTTCAGAGAAGCAGAGGTAGTATGTAATTTTCCAATATCTTGAAGTGGCTCTCTTTTTATGTCACTTCATGATACAGTGGGGTCTTGACTTAAGAACGGCTCGAGTTAAGAACATTTTGACTTAAGAACCACTCTCATAGGAAAATATTGACTTGACTTACATACTTAGATTTGAGTTAAGAATTGAAAAAAACCCACGTGGGAGGCAGGGAAAGTGCAAAATGTGAACTTTCAGTTAACTGTTGGCCAGTGAAAAGGGTGCCTGTCTGCTTCCTCACTCCTCCCAGCGTTTAGAGAGTGGATTGGGAGACAGTCTTCAGTCTGCCTGGTACTGCCTGGACTGTATTTTCCCTGCCTTCCCTGAACCTTTCTTGACCTAAGAAAAAAAGAGAAACAAAATATCCCCCTCTAGTGGTCGAAGGCGGAATAGCAGCTTCCCATTAGTTTCTATGGACGGAAAAGAGCAGATACGGATCAAATGGTTTTCAATGCATTCCTATGGGAAATGCAGATTTGACCTGAGAACTTTTTGACTTGAGAACCGCCTTCCAATACGGATTAAGTTCTCAAGTCAAGACCCCACTGTATGGCAAACTGACAGCAGAAGGGCTCTTAATACCCAAAGGTTCACTTTGATTTATTTCCAGAGATTGCACATGCTGGAAATGAACCAAAACATAGCAATCCTTCCCATACCAAAGAAGTAGAACCCTCTGACAGAGATCCAGAAAGGTTCAGGTAGGAATGCTCTGGAGATGATGGGCTGGTTTGTTCCAGCAATTACATTGTGTGATCATCAGAAAAAGGAGTAAAGCAACCCATCTCCACAGTGGACTAAACAGCAAGCTAAAAATGTCCACTGGGTTATACATTCACTTGGACTCTGAAATGCAACCAAAACTACTGATACTGGGGGTTTAAAGATGTTTGCAGGTTGTAACGGAGGAAAAGAGAGGTGCATTATGGAGCTTCATATCACACAGTTTCCCTAGCACTGTCAGCTATTGCCACATACCATCCCGTATTGACTGTGGTCCCTTAAGGACTAGACTTTAGGGTAGAAGTCCAGGTTCCCAATCAGCACAAATGAATAGGACTCCCCTAAACTCTTGCACAGTTGGCTTACAATGTTTGCACTACATGTTATTACCTAAACAACATCAACTATTCTGTAACACTATCAATCCAGACTCTAACATCATTACTTAATTGCACTACTGGACAAAATGATTTACCATGTAAACATTACCTTCCAGTGATGAGGAAGAACAGTGTGAGAATGACCAGGAGGGTGAATCCACCTACAGCAGCTGTTGCGATTACTAGGATCTGCCCCTGTTCTGCTGCTATATCTGAAGCTGAAACAGAAGCACACAGAAATAAACATACAAACAAAGTCGTGTGGTTCTTACACAATACAAAAGTAAGGGCAGGTTTTATTAGACCACTAAAAAAAAGCAAAAAGCTCGCTTTCAACCTACACTAGTCTTCATAAGGCTGTGTACCAATATATTGTAGACAGTGGACAGAAATAAGTGTCTGAGTAATAGTTTTATTTAGAAGAATTTGCATTATTCTACCAGAGAGCTGAATTCACTGTTATTACTTTGGAAGCTGCAACTGCTACAGTATAGGGCAGGTAGACTGTTAATGGGTGCTTCCAGTTGTGATCCCATTTCCTAATACAATAGTCTATACTTGAACTTCTGAAGGCATACTTGAAGTGTGTGGAGCCAAAAGGAAGAAAGACAGCAAGTTCATTCCTCTAATCACAGCAACAGACTGAAGAAGGGAAGGATGCTTTTATCTTGGGGGCTTCTCCACGTGAGCCAGAATTTTTTTGGTTCATGTGGAGAGCTACCCAGATTGAGCAGCCTCCCCCTCTTTATATTATTGTGCTCCTGTAATTAAACTGAGGCTGGGGGCAGTGCTAGTAGACATATAAGGTTCAAAAGCTGTAAGCACATCTGAATAGGGCTTGCATTTTCCTACATTTATACAGGTGTTACTGATGCAGGTGGGCACAGAAGCTGAAGACAGAGATTCAACACTGCCCTACACTTTTGTACAAGCAATCCCCTGTAGATATTAATACACTGAGTATGAAGGTATATGACTAAATGTCCTTGGAATGGAGTGTGTGGCCTTTAGAGCAGGAAGGGCAGATCCCCATTATCTTTCCTACTCCCTGCTAGCCTCTCTCTGTTTTTTTAAGTCAGAAATTTGCTACTGCTTTCCTTCTGATCTTTGCAGCAGAGCTGATCGCAGACAGAAAACCCATGCCAAAGTTTAGAGCATGCCTAGTGGGTGTGTCAGCTAAGTTCCTACTCTACAAAGCTAATCAGGCAGAGTTGCCATGTTTCAATTTTCTTTCTCTAAAATGTGGGTGGGCTAATTTGCATATTATCACTAGGCAGCCTTATTTATGCAAATTGCAAATGCAAATCAAATAAAGTTATGTAATTGCTTGTGGATTTTTAAACAATTAATATGCTTGATTATCCAAACTAAGCATATAAATTTTTTTCTTATTTTCCTATCAATATGTTGGAGCTTTGTCATCATATATGATGACTACTGATCTGAGACAGCCAGTATAGTGTAACTATATAACTAATGATTTTGAAACAGGGAGGCCCAAGGTCAAATCATAAAGCTTACTGGACTAATGGTGGTGGTGGTGGGAATCTGTGTCTGTTTTCTTTCATGTTGATTCCCCAATGCAAAGTAAGAGCAAATATTTGCCGGCGTATAAGACGACTGGGCGTATAAGATGACCCCCCAACATTTCCACTCAAAATATAGAGTTCCTTATATACTCGCCGTATAAGACTACTCCCTCTTCTGCACACCTTCCATACACCAAACAAAAGGTAAAAGAACATCAGATTTGATTTCAACATGTTAATTTATATTCAAATGTTTATGATATGCAGGAAAACTGTCACAAAGCTGTATGTTATCAAACATGTAAACATAAAACAGTGCAAGTTTATTAAACGTAATTCACTAAAGACAACACACTCCTCTCCTCCTCAGCGCAAGCAACACTCCAAGTGGACCCTATGGATGGGTAGATGCTTCTCAGGAACACAGACAGGCAGCCCACAACCCAGAGGGACTCTGGAAACATGCTGTTTGTTTTCTAAGCTGTTAACCAAACTGGAATTATCAATGATAGAAAGAAGATAACAAATTTTAAAAGCCTTCAAACTCCTTTTAAAAGCCTTCAAATTCCTGTTCGTCATCTGATTTTAAAAGTTCATCAATGACGTCTTGGGATACAGTTGCAAAGCAGTCATCGTATGGATCTACCGGTAATTCTGTGTCAGATTATGTGGCCTCAGCTTCAGCTTCCTCTTCATCTTGCCACAAGTACTCGTCTTCCATACCATCTAATGAATTTGATATGCCACACTTCTTGAAAGACTTGATTACTGTTTGTGCATCAATATCATCCCAGGCTTTTATGACAAATTGGCACAAAACATCCAACTGCGGAGCACGCATGTTTCCTCCTTTTGTGTATGACTTTTCGTCGCTAACCATCCATTCATTCCACTGCTCTTGAATGTGATCTTTAAACGGCTTGTTTAGGCACACATCCAGGGGCTGTACCAATGATGTCAATCCTGCAGAAATAACTGCTGCATCTGTTTTTATTCTCGCAAGCCTTTCCTTGGTGGTGAGAGTTGTATGAGCCCTGAACATATCCCACACAAGTAGACTACATTTATGAAGTAGACCACCTGGTTGTCTGCTCCATACATTATCCAGCCATAGTTTCACACCCTCCTCATCCATCCAGCCTTTTTCATGCACGTGCACAAAACAACCAGCAGGGAACTTGAGTTTTGGCATTGTTTTCCTTTTAAAAATAATGATAGGTTTCAGTTTGTTGCCATCAGCTGTGCATGCTAGTACCACTGTAAAACTTGACTACTCATGTCCTGTTGTTTTTATCAAAATAGTTTTTTCACCTTTTTGATGGATAGTTTTATTTCCAATCATATCAAAATTCATTGGAGTTTCATCCATATTTCCAATATCACTTAACACATAGCCATGTTTAGTGCGCTGTTGTATTATGTATCGATGGAAACGATCCACTTTGTTATTCAGATCTGCAGATAATTTTGGGGCAATTTTTGTCTTTTGCCTTAGTACCAGATCATGCCTTGACATGAATCTACTACACCAGGATATAGTGGCCTTAAAATTGTTGCTGTATTCTGAGTTAGATTTGGCCCACTGAAGTGCAAACAAGTGTATTGTATTTCGTGTCACCACATAACCATTTTGGCGATGCTGATCCACCATGTCTGCTACATGTTTTTCAAGTTCTGTGCCTCTTCTTAACACACACTTACCCCTTGGCATACTCTGTAATGCTTTTTCATTTGATTTCCAGTCCTGAACCATCTTTTTTGTTACTCCATATTGTCTTGCAGCAGCACAATTATTATGTTCCATGGCAAAGTTTACAACTTTAAGTTTAAAACTTGCATCATATTTCTTTCTTTTTGCTGGTGCCATGACAGGGGTTTGACTGCTGGACATTTTCTTTTTTCCTTTTTTCAATTCTTTTGGCGTTTGCCCTGTGCCCTGTGTCTCCTTTCTTCAATCTGCCTGTTTGTTTGCGAGCTAAGGTGTCAGGAGTCGTGAGGTGTCTGTTTCAAAATGTCTGAAACACTTTGAAGTGCTGCCTCCATTTGTTGCCTGGAGGACTCTGCTGCTAGGGTGACTCTCTTTCCCTCCAGAAGACCAACAAGACAAACCAGAGAGACGAGATGAGCCGAGGTGGGGAGATACTTTCGAAAACCGGCTCCGCGTATTGTGCCTGCAGGGAGTTGGGAATATTTGTGGAGCTCTGCCTGGGCTTTGATTCAGGGAAGCTCCCTCCTAGACTCTGAAAATGACGCTGGGACCCGACGCCTGTCAGGGGTGTGCGGATATACCTGCTCTGGGCTGTTGGTGTTGAAGCGCACCCGGCGTACAAGACGACCCCCCCCACTTGGAGGCGTGTTTTTCAGGGCCAAAAAGTCGTCTTGTACGCTGGCAAATACGGTATTTATTTATACAGTTACACAATTTCTACATCAATTATCACTTACAAAGCATGGCATATTTGTCTCATTGCTACGGGCCATACTCTGGAAGGGAATGACATTAAATAGCAAAGCTTGAAAATTATCAGCCAAGGTCCCTTCACCAGAATCGTCATAGATGGTGGCTGAAGGATTCTGAGGGCTGTCGTTTTAGGAAATAATATTGCTAATTTCTGTTTCCTAACAAGTACAAATATTTCAATTTCTTATGAACATTTAGGGAGCTGCAAAAGCACTTAATTTAATAGAATATATATAAGAGTTTGAAGAGCAATGTCAAAATCACGGGAAAAATATTGAAAAAGATATTATCAATATCTTTCAAAAATTAACAATCAAAACAACAAAAACTAAATCGCAACAACAAGCAAAAACTTGTTATAATTTACACTCCCCTCTTGTTTTTTATCAAGTCAGATGCAACCTCCATTTATTTTAACCAACTTTTCTTTCTGTATGACAGGAGGACCTAGCTAAATTCTCAGTCATTGAGTCCAACTGTCTTATCAAAGCAGGAATTGCAGTGAAATCCAAAATTTCAGACCTTGGAAAAATTCCTTTTGTGCGCCCAAACCTTCATAACCTCCCAGTCAGCAATCACTGATATGAATTGTTTGTTTTTTATGCCATGTTTACAGGCAGCTCTGCAAAACCAAGCCTTCCCACAGTTGTAACATTTACCCATTAGTCTTTAGTTTATGTATCTGTGAGCTCCTGCTAAAATTGTTGATGTTTAATCCTATGAAAAATATTTGTTTCTCATCAAACAAGTGGCTAAATGGCCAAGACAAGTGATCACATGTTTTGCCTTTTACTGTTAGTTTTATAAGGAATGGAGATTCCCCCCTCTCTCCAAATTAGCCATTGAATTTGGGCTGGCTGATGAGCTACATGGGCACTGGATGGCATGTCTAAAACATAGACAAAAGCCAGCTAACCAGGTTTTGTGCGAACTTGACAACTAGGATCACAAGGGGGCAGTCATGATGGCACTCCTTGATCAATTATTCTTTCTGTTAACTTTCCAAAGAGAAGTCTTGTATAGAGTATTTGCTTCTGTTTTCCAGTTTCAGGGAAAAGGAAAGAAGGCACAATGGCCAGGATACAAATGTTTTTGATCAATGATTCTCTTAATGAAGTCAGAAAGAAGAAAAGCAAGCATAGCTTTGGTTTGGGGTGTTTGCTTTTAGTTGAGAAAGACAAGATCCATACAATAAGAGGGTGTAATTTTTTTTGTGAGTTGGTTTGTA